TTAACTTTTTTTCATCGTTTTAATGGGAACTCTTTTTGTATTTTCTATTGGTGCGTCATCAGTATATAGGAATTTTGTGATTATCTTAAATCCCCTGATCTTCTTAAACTTCTTAATTATCTCTAGTAATTTTGAGACTTGTTTATTTCTAGTTTGTTGGTATAGCTGAATTAACTTCATTCTTCCCTGTATATCATTTCTTTTTCTTCTTGAATACACTGTGCTATCATTTGTTCTTGGCTTTTGTGCTAAAGTATCTATGCTTTATTATATTAAGGCAGTAATTCATTATGCATATTTTTGTGGTTAATTTGAAAAACTATTTTACTATACTATGCCAGTTTTACATTTTTGGGATAAATCCTGCTTTCTTCATACTGAACATTCTTTTAAACCTATTACATTTTGTTTGCTAAGGTTTTGCTTAAGTACTTGCAGCTTTGGATTATTAATGAAATTGCCTAGCCCGGACAGATTTGAGGCTCAACATTTAGTCAGGAAATATTGCTCCCTAAGGAGACATACCATACTTTAAAATATTTATTTTTGGAGCAATTTTAGTAGCATAAGGGGTTATTTATTCTTTAAAAAGAAAAAACAAAAAATATGCAATAAGAAATAGAAAAAACATTATTAATTATGGATATATATATATATAGGAAAAGTTATATTTTTTTTCTTATTTTTTTCTTTTAAGTGTTTGTGAGTAATCATATAAATAGGATTATCAAATCAATTAGCCATATGCTTATAGCTAAGGACAATGCTGCTGTTTAACATTTAACAAAATCTATGCTATTTTAATTGTCTTTTCCTTGATTATAATTTAATATTTTAATTAATTTAATATTAATGTAATATTTGTAGTTTCTTTCATTGAGTCAATGGTTTATCAGTTTTGTCCATTTTATCCAAATGTTAACGTCTGCACTGTTGATTTATTTCTATTGTTCTTCCTTTACTTTTAAATTTTCTATTGTATTTTTATTTTCATACTTTGTTTTGGCACCTTATATTATTCCATTTTAAAATTCTTTAGGTATAGAATTAAGTTACGACATTTCTATTTTTATTTTCTTATTAACATATATATTTAGAGAAATACATTTCTTTCTTAGTACACTGATACCAGCATTTAATTAATCAAGATGTGTTGTACTTATATGCTTACTATTTGAAATTGTGTTACTACAGCTTTCCTTCATGTGAGTTAATACAGTATTTTGAATTTTAATTTCCATGTGGTTTGTTTCTGTAGAATTCTGTTGTTCCTACTCATTTTATATTGTTGTGGTGTGAGAATATGTTTGCATAGATTTCATGCTATTTATTTTGCATTAACTAAGTGCATTTTTCTGTCCCAGTGTAAGATTAATTTGAATAATTAGAAAAAAATCTTTAAAATATCTTGTCCTATGATTCTATGCTTTCCATATGTCTGTTACCAAAAAGAAACCAAACCCATTGCCATCAAGTTGATTCCCACTCATAGTGACCCTATAGGACAGAGTAGAACTGCCCCATAGGGTTTTCGAGGAGCACCTGGTGGATTCAAACTGTCAACCTTTTGGTTAGCAACCATAGCACTTAACCACTGTGCCACCAGGGTTTCCCATATGTCTGTTGGCTCTACTTTATTCCTTTTATCTTTTGGCTACGTAGTTTCTCTCCTCTCCGTCCACAGATTCTGCTATTTTTCTTTAGTCCTGAGATCTACCGTTATAACTAGATTTCTATGAGTTTCTTTTTGCACTTGACCAGTTTTCCTATACGTGCCTTGATCACAGGGCTGGCTTCATGGGCATACTGCCCGGGCAGTCGCACAGGGCACTGCTCGCAAAAGGGTCTGCCCTTGGTTTAATGCTCTGCTATCACTGTCTTGAAATTCTTAGTAATTTTAGAAGAGCCCTGCATTTTCATTTTGCACTAGACTCCAATAATTATGTAGCCAGTTCTGCTTGTTCCTTATACTCTATGACTTTGCTGACCTCATATCTTATCACAAGCTGTTGGGGATGATTTGCTGGATTTTCTAGATAAGTCATTCCATCATCAAAATAAGATATTCTTCTGGCCAGGCCAGCTTTGGGAAAGTCTTCTGTTTAGCTCTTCCCCTTCCCACCCCCTTAGAGTGAAATCACTGCTAAAAGTTCTCTCCTCCTGTCTCCTTCACTTAATGTTAAGTGTTCCTTTATTACTTCCAGAGGGGCTTTTGGTCAGGTGTCCAACAGATGGGACTCAGTTCAGGCACCACCAAGGGTTTTGCCGAGAGCAACAGCAGAAGCAAAAGTAAGCTCCGCCCCTAACCTCCCTCCCACATAGCCCAAGAGTCCTCATCCTTCCCCAGCCCCTTAACACAAAGAAAACAGGGCTTGCTACCATGAACATGGGATTTTAGGCTTCTAGCCCTTTTGTTCCATACTCGTCTCTGCCTTGGCCATACATTTCCATTATCCAGTGCAGACTCACTTTCCTTCAAACACAGCCCTTCTCTTGAAGAGTAAAGGAGGTAGGTAGCTTAATCCTTTCCATGCATCCTGGAAAATTGAGCTGCTACAGGGAAAAAACCCATACCTGTTGCCGTCAAGTCGATTTTGACTCACAGCATAGGACAGAGTAGAACTGCCCCATAGGGTTTCCAAGGAGCGGCTGGTGGATTTGAACTGCTGACTTTTTTTTGTTCAGTAGTCAGAGCTCTTTTTTGTTTTTTTTCCTTTTTATTGTACTTTAGATGAAGGTTTACAGAACAAATAGTTTCTCATTGAACAGTTAGTACACATATTGTTTTATGACAATGGTTAAGAACTCCAGGACATGTCAACACTGTCCCTGCTCAACCTTGGATTCCCTATTACCAGCTTTCCTGTCCCGTCCTGCCTTCTAGTCCTTGTCCCTGGACTGTTGTGCCCCATTAGTCTTGTTTTGTTTTATGGAGCTATCTAATCTTTGGCTCAAGGGTGAACCTTGGGAGTGACTTCATTATTGAGCTAAAAGGGTATCCAGGGACCATACTCTCAGGGTTTCTCCAGTCTCTGTCAGGCCAGTAAGTCCGGTCTTTTTTTGTGAGTTAGAATTTTGTTCTACATTTTTCTCCATCTCTGTCGGAGACCCTTAGTTGTGATTCCGGTCAGAGCAATCAGTGGTGGTAGCCAGGCACCATCTAGTTGTACTGGACTCAGTCTGGTGGAGGCTGTGGTAGTTGTGGACTATTAGTCCTTTGGACTAATCTTTTCCTTGTATCTTGTTTTCTTCATTCTCCCTTGCTCCCAAAGGGGTGAGACCAGTGGAGTATCTTAGATGGCTGCTCACAGGCTTTTAAGACCCCAGACGCTACTCACCGAGGTAGAATGTAGAGCATTTTCTTTATAAACTGTGTGTCATGGATTGAATTGTGTCCCCCAAAAATATCTGTCAACTTGGCTGGGTCATGATTCCCAGTATTGTATGATTGCATAATCTGATGTGATTTCCTTATATGTTGTAAACTCTATCACTATGATGAGGTTATATGTGATTTCCTTATGGGTTGTAAATTCTATCACTGTGATGAGGTTATGCTGATGAGGTTTACAAGATTAGATAGTGTCTTAATCCAATCTCTTTTGAGATATAAAAGAGAAAAGCGAGCAGAGACACATGGGAACCTCATATCACCAAGAAAGCAGTGCCGGGAGCAGAGCATGTCCTTCGGACCTGAGGTTCCTGCACTGAGATGCTCCCAGACCAAAGGAAGACTGATGCATCACAAAGACCTTTCTCCACAGCCGACAGAGAGAGAAAGTCTTCTGGAGCTGAATTTGGACTTGTAGCCTACTGGACTATGAGAGAATAAACTTCTCTTTGTAAAGCCATCCACTTGTAGTATCTCTGTTAGAGCAGCCCTGGATGACTGTGTTATGCCAATTGAGCTAGATGTTCCCTGAGACTATGGTCCCCAGAGCCCTCCGCCCAGCAACTCAGTCCCTCAGGGAGTTTGGATGTGTCTATGGAGCTTCCATGACCTTTTCTTGTACAAGTTGTGCTGGCTTCCCCAGTATTGTGTACTGTCTTACCCTTCACCAAAGTTACCACTTATCTATTGTCTATTTAGTATTCCCCGCCCCCATCCATTGTAACCAACAAAGATTGTTTCTTTTTGTGTGTAAACATTTACATGAGTTTTTACGTAGAGGTCTCATACAATATTTGTCCTTTTGTGATTGACTTATTTCACTCAGCATAATGTCCTCCAGTTTCATCCATGTTATGAAATGCTTCACAGATTCATCATTTTCTTTATCGTTGCATAGTACTCCATTGTGAGTATGTACCATAGTTTGTTTCTCCATTCATCTGTTGATGGGCATCTAGGTTGTTTCCATCTTCTTGCTATCTATTGTGAACAATGCTGCAGTGAACATGGGTGTGCATATGTCTATTCGTGCGATGGCTCTTATTTCTCTAGGATATATTCCTAGGAGTGGGATTGCTGGATCATATGGTATGTCTATTTCTAGCTTTCTAGGGAAGCGCCATATCATTTTCCAAAATGGTTGTATCATTTTGCATTCTCACCAGCAGTGCATAAGAGTTCCGATCTCCCCACAGCCTCTCCAACATTTGTTATTTCCAGTTTTTTTGATTCGTGCCAGTAATGCTGGGATGAGATGGTATCTCACTGTGGTTTTAATTTGCGTTCCTCTAATGGCTAGTGATCGACAGCATTTCCTCATGTGTCTATTGGCTGCTCGAATGTCTTCTTTGGTGAAGTATCTGTTCACTTCCTTTGCCCGTTTTTTAATTAGATTATTTGTCTTTTTGTTGTAGGGATGTTGGATTTTCTTGTAGATTTTAGAGATTAGACCTTTGACTTGTAATGTCCAAAAATTTTTCCCAGTCTGTAGGTTCTCTTTTTACTTTTTTGGTGAAGTCTTTTGATGAGCATGTTTAATTTTTAGAAGATCCCAGTTATCTAGCTTATCTTCTGGAGTTTGTGTGTTGTTGGTTATGGTTTATCCTGTTAATGCCGTGTATTAGGGCCTCTAGCGTTGATCGTATTTTTTCTTCTTATGAACTTTATAGTTTTCAGTAGCCATAGCTCTTAATCACTGTGCCACCAGGGCTCCAGGCCACAAGTAAGGACAGGGTTAAAATGCACAGTAAAGTGCCAGAAGGCTTGGATTTGAGGTTGACTTGTTTTTTCTTGTGATTTTGCCTTGGGCAAGCTGCTTCACTTCCCTGAGCCTCAGTCCTCTCATCTATAAAATGGAGAAAGTAGCAGTGCTATTTATCAGGGTTTGTGTGAAGGTTAAGTGAGGCTTGATAAGCTCTTGAAATAGAGCCTAGAGTGTATAATAAATGCTTACTGACTCTCCACTGAGCTGCTGAAGCCACGCCAAGATGGCAGTGCTTATTGGTGTCCTCTGAGGTGTTCTTTGTCTCTTTGTAAGGTGACCTCAGGAAAAGGTGCTGGGAGAATTCTCCAAGCCTATGTGTCCCTGGCAAAGAAATAGCCAAAATAATTAGACTGGGTTCCAATCTACAGAAAATAATACAGAGATATAGACGTGTTTTCCTAGCAACCCATCTCTTTTAGGTTGGGCTTTCAAGAAAGGCCATGGACTTAACCATGGACTTTGGAGCCAGACGTGGACTTGGGCAAGTCACTGAACTTTCATTGTGCCTCTGTAAAATGGGACTAAATCTCTCCATCCTACCCCTCTTCCTGGTCTTACCATGATGTCCCTCCTTCCCCCCACTCACAAAGGCTCTCTTGTCCCCTCCTCCTGTTGGCTCGGAAGGAGATGAGGATGCCCAATTATCTCCTGTAGACCTCTGGCTCCCTCCATCTCACTCCTGTCTTCCCCATCAGCGACTTCCTCTTGTTTAGTGTGGCTACCGCCAAAGGCTGAAACTGCACTTACACGGATCCCCCCTCCAGATCCTGGAGACAGTCTTGATGGAATAAATGTATAAAGCCTCAATCTCAAAACACATCCATCCCAGAGCTGCTGTATTCTCAGCTGGATAGGGATGTGAGGCCACCTTTCCTATGCTGTGCTCAACCCAAGATGCCTGCATGCCCCATCCTGAGGCATGAAGTTAAATCGACTTGCCCAAGGAAATTGTAATTGATAAATATTTATTCCTGCCCCCTACTTCACTCATACCAGAACCAAGTAGGGTTCTTGAGCTGGGCCGTACAAATAAAGCTCTAATTCCATTAGTACTTTCTTTAATTTTGATACTTAGGAATAATCCTGTCCCCAATCCATTTGTTCCATTACTTGCCCACCTTTCTGGATTTGTAAATGGTTTTCCCCATCACAGTCTTTGGTTGCTGGATTGCTTTCTTCTTGATGAGGTCACAATTTAGATTTTGTCTTCTCATTGTTTCATGTTTCTTTTTCTTCAGAATTGTCAACTTGTGAGATGCACTAGAAAAACATAAAAGTTTTTATAACACACTGTATGCTGAAGGGTGAGTGGGTGGGCAGTCAAACAATCCCCAAGTCACAAGAATCAGTTGTTACTAGTTCTGTGAAGGGAAGGTAGTCTGTATGTTCCAACAAATGTCCAAATTCTGTTATTGGGCAGAAATTTTGTTATATTAAAAATGGAACTAAGAGGGCCACTGAGTGGGGCTCTGAAATTTTGGGGCATGGAAATTAAAAAAAAAAATTTTTTATTCTTGTAGTTTAGCTGAAGTTTACATTTCAAGTTAGTCTCCCACACAAAAATTTATACATACATTGTTATGTGACCCTAATTGCTTTCCCTATACTGTGACAGCACACTCCTCCTTTACACCCGATTCCCCATATCCATTCAACCAGATACTAATCTTCTCTGCCTTCCCATCTCACCTCCAGACAGAAGCTGCCTGTCTAGTCTCTTGTATCTACTTGAGCTAAGAGGCACACTCCTCACTAGTATCCCTTTATGTCCCACAGTCCAGTCCAATCCCTGTCTGAAGTTGTCCTCAGAAATTGTTTTAGCTCTAGGCTGATAGAGAATCTGGGGGCCGTGCTTTCTGAGGTTCCTCCAGTCTTAGTCAGACCATTAAGTCTGGTCTTCTTATGGGGCATGGAAATTGTTAATGTGAGATATTTATTATACCCCAAACTCATCTTTATGGAGCCCGGTGGAAAAAGAAGTAAATATCGATGAGGCTAAACTTCTTGTGTGTGCCAGACAAATCTTGTGGGTCTAATTAACCTTTCAATCAGCATCCATACTGCCTTTTCAGTCAGCATCCATTCTGTTCAAGTTGCTGCCTTTTCGATCAACATCCATACTGTTCTTCAACGCTTGCAAATGTTGGTCTGCGTCCATCCTGGGAGGTAGGTTGGGAGGCAGGTCAGCATTTTTATCCCTGTGATCAAGGAGAAAAATGAAATCCCTGAGGTGAAAGCGTTTGCTTGTGTCAAGCAGTGACCAAATGGCAAGGTTCTCATCCATGTTTCCAGCCAGAGTGCGCATCTCAGGGCTGGAGGCTGAGTCACACAGCCAGGCTGCTTCCTAACATCCCAAATTAGACAGAAGGTTTGAATTTCCCTACAAGTAAGAGCAAGAGCAGTAGATTGTTGGAATGAAGTGTTTACACACCACTGCAGAGAAAAGAGCTTATGACAGACTTAAGATTTAAGCTGTGTGTTTAAAGAGAAAAGAGAGGAAGCACAGAGATGGTTGGGATCATTTTTATGGCTGAAATGTCAGTGCAGACTAATCCAGTCTTCATAGGGAAACAAATGGATAAAAGGGCCCAGAGATGTGTGCAAAATATTTTGGAGGCAATAAGGCTGAGGTTGACAATGGAAAAGATAGGGGTAAGAACACTTTATTTTAGGATACAGCATAGAGTTAAAACCACAGAAGTACCCATTATCAGAACTAGAGATTGAGTGTGATTTAAAATTACTCTGCATACGCTAATCACATTAACGTTGTACTCTACTAGACACTTTAATTGCCTCCAACTGCTACAAACACAGCAAATCTGTAGCATCAAAGAAGTCATCATGTTCCATAAACGGCCATTTTATAATTCACCAAGTGGAGAATCTACTTCAATAGAGAATGTCCTGGGATCTTTGGCACAGTGATAAAAGGAAACCAGGGACCCTAATTAAAAGGTAGGGATAATGGACCAATTATGTGAAACTACTCGAATTCAGACTATGGGGATATATGATTACAAAGGTATTTGATTTCAAGGCAGCAAATGATAGAGAAATGAAATGACAATGAGAAATTAATGTGTTTGAAAGAGGGTTGAAACACTTCATCACATCACACCAAATGGCAATTCCATTAAAAAGTATGAAGAACCAGTAGGGGTAAAAATCTCCAACATCTAATTTGACTTAAAAAAGGTTTAAAAAAATCTGTGATTAAACCCACAGAATCAGTAGGTCAAAAGAGTCATTCATTGTGACCTTTTGCCTTCAGGCTGGGGCTGCCCATACCATCCTGGTAGATAATTGTCTACCCTATTCTTAAGGTTCTTGTGGAAAGGAAATTCCAAGGCCCCCTTGGTAACACACACCACTATCTGGTGGCAGAACAAGGGACAGCCTAAAATCCCTAAAAACTACAATTATTCACTTCCCTTTGTTCTGGTGCTAGTCCTGATCAAGCTCAAGATCCTCTGTTTATATGATCACATGATTTAAAAAGATCATTTAAGGCTCGCCCAACATCATCTCTTAACCGAGGTTTAATAACGCAAAAAAAAGTTTGTGCAATAACTGATGGTGAGGAGAGGTACTTGAATGTGTCTTAGCTGTGCTCTCTGGCTGCCCCAGAATGACCTTCTGACCCTTTTTCAGCAAGCCAGCTCTGTCACTTCCTTCCAGGCCTAGCTTCACTCTAGTCTTGCTCTGTTCCCAAGCCACCTCTTAGGCGTTATGTTGTACCGGGGCAAAGAGTTGAGCCAGATTATGAAACCACAACACGTGCTTCCAATCTCTCTTCACTTCTTCCAAGCCCCCTCCTCTATGCTTTTTTGGGTGGCGGGGGCAGCAGTGTCCAGAGTCTTATTCTCCCTCCTTCTGAGTAATGAGATTAACCTGTCTTTTCTCTCTCCCGTGTACTCCCTATAACTCTGCCAGAAAAAAACAAGGTGACACTTGGCTAATTTTTTGCTAATGCGCATATGTGGGAGCTGTCTAGGGAAGCTTCCTTTTGCCAGGTAATTTGTACATTTTAACAGCAACCTTCTGCAGATTTTGTCCTCTCTTGTGTTGTGTACTGCTAATGGTGGGAATTTTTAACTAATTAAGAAGAGTTGGGCAGCATGCTAGGCTGGAAGTGTGCTGTTATTGGTCTGGTACGATTTTGCTATGTCCTACCTCTCAGATCTAGGACAGAATTTTTACTGACCCATGGCAGGGCTGGGACTTCTCTTTTAATTTATTCTTTTTAACTACTTTTAAAATTGGAACTGTAATGCATGCACAATAAAAAATAAACCTCTCTCTTACTCCGACTCCCCAGTCGCCATCCCCCTTAGCATAAAATACAGCCCTCTTGACAAAGTACATATATACTTAACAGATGCTAGCTACATGAATAAATATATTTGTATCAGATAATAAGAAGAAATAGGAGGAAAAGTTGGAAGCCACAGAATTAAACAGGCTCAGCATATGTGAGGGGCGGCTTTATGAAATAAGAGCGTTTTATAAGCATATGAAGGACAAGAATAGTTTTGTTTTTTTTTTTTTTTTGAAGATTTATTATTTAAAATCAACAAATTTTGAGGATATATTATATGTCAGGTTCTGGGCTGGTGCAGAGGGTATGAAGGTGAATCCTATGTAGTGTCAAACTCTAATGAGCTCAACTGGTATGGAGAAAAGATCATTCTTGAACTTTGTGGAGCATTTGATATCTCTGGCTCTGCTTATATCATTGACTCTCTCCTTCCCCGATGAGATTTTTGGCCTGATTGTGCCACAGGAATCAAACTTCATATGTGTTAGTTTTAGTTCATTGAATCTGGAGCCCTTCTTCTCCCTCCTGTACTCCAGTTTCTCTTAGGGGTACTCTACCCACTGAGTAGTGCTTACTGCGTGAAGTCAGCATCCGCTTCAACTCCCTGTGCCCCTGTTCCAGTTAACTATTAAGGCATTGTAAGCTAACCTAGAAATGGCTCTCAAATCCATTCCTAGAACAGCCTGGTTCACTGTCTCATCACACTTTACTTGGATTATTACAGTGCCTCCTAAGCCTGTGTGTCTCTAGTCTCCCGGCTCTGATTTATTCCTTTAACCACCATCAGAATTTCCCTGGGGGGAATCACTTTTCAGCCCAAAAGTCTCCAACAGTTCCATTTCAAGACAAACTTCATTCTCCCTAGTAGACACACAAGGCCCATCATAACCTGGCACCCAGCTTCCCTTCTAGCATCATCTCCTACCCTTCTCTGACATGCTCCCTATATACTAACCACACTGACCTACTTCCCTGAAAAGGTCATGCATTCTCACCATCCCTGTCTTTGTTCATGGTCTTTGCCAGCTAGGATGACATGGGTTTTAGGTTTAGAACTCCTGTTTCCATTAGACGAGCTTAGAGGCATCCTTCAAGAAAGCAAAAGTGTTTCCTCCTCCTTTAATAAGAAGTTCCTGACTCTAGAAGACATAATGAATTGCTCCTCTAAGCTCATAAAGCACTTAGTACATACCTCTACTGCAGCCCTCATTGTACTATATTGTAATTATTTATTCATGAGTCTTTTCCCCACATGAGCCTGAGCTCAACAGAGTCAATTTACAAGTAATAACTGCCTATTTCTCCCTCTACCAGGCCCTGATAACCACTAAACTACTTTCTAGCTGTATGACTTTGCCTATTCTAAATATTTTATGTAAGTGAGATCATACAATATTTGTCCTTTTGTGTATGACTTATTTCATTCAGCATAATGTTTTCAGTGTTCATCCATGTCACAGTGTGTATCAGAACTTCATTTCTCTTTAAGACTGAATAATATTTCATTGTATATATATACCTCATTTTGTTTCTCCATTCATCTGTTGATGGATGTGGGTTGTTTCCACCTTTTGGCTATTGTGAATAATGCTGTTATGAACACTGGTGTACAAATATCTGTTGGAGTCCCTGCTTTTAAGTCTTTTTAGCATATACCTAGGAGTGGAATTGCTGGGTCATAAGGTAATTCTATGTTTAACTTTTTAGGAATTGCCAAACTGTTTTCTACAGCGGCTGCACCATTTTATATCCCCACCAGTAATGGGTCAGGACAGCATATCCTTGGCCAACACTTGTCGTTTTCCATTTTTATGGTAATAGCTATCCTAGTGGGTGTGAAGTGGCATTTCATTAAGGTTTTCCATTTGCATTTACTTAATGACTAATAATATTGAACAACTTTTCATGTACTTATGGGCCATTTGTATATCTTCTTTGGAGAAATGTCTATTCAAGTTCTTTGCTCATTTTTAACTGGGTTTTTGTCTTTTTGTTGTTGAAGAAATCATACACTCGATGGTTCCAGTCAGGTTGGCTCTGTGACATTTTTCTTTTCCAGCAGAGTGGCAGTCAGAGAGCAGGTATGGAGAAAGCCCATAGCTGGATTTATGCAAAGCTGTAGATTGGCAAGGTGGGCACACATGAAGGACAAGGACATGCTGGTGAGAATGTGGTTGGAAGCCTTGGCCATGAGGCCCAGTCTGGGAAAAAAGTATAGACAAGAGTGCTGATAAATTGAGAGAGTAGGAGCAGATGGAGGAAGTAAAGGTCTTGCTAAGATTAGCAGGTGTGCTTAGTGGAAGTAAGGGAATGGGATTGATGAAGGGCAGAGTTTGGGGCTGAAAATGGATTTCTTAGTGTAAGCTTTCAGAGATGAAACAGTTCTGGGGGTTTGGATGTGGGAATGGGTGAATAAAGGAAAAGTTAGTTGGGAGCAAAAAAAAAACACAGGATATGTGAAGTGATATGGCTGGAAAGTTGACAGAAAGTTCTGATGACATTAATGGGCGACTGGAAAAAAAAAAGCTCTCCCTGAAGAACAACATGTGGAGACCTCATTTTGTGAGTGTCCCTCCCTTAAGACAATGAGCCAACACAATAGCAAGTTTCATATTCCAGGTTTTTTGCTTCTCTTGAAAAATAAGATGATTCTGGCAGCATTGAGCCCGGAGTCCCTCATGGAATATTGTTCCTCATGGAACAATAAGATTCCTCATCAGTTTACCTGAGTCCCCATTGCTTCATACTGCTGTCCCCAACTGGCTAAGTGTTGGTTGCTATTTGTCATTATGCTCATACTGTATTTCTTGGAGTTAAGAGGTAAGGGAGCTATTTCTTACATCCATGCCTCTATAAAAATTGGAAAACCAACAATGAATTGGGAAGGGTAATCCTCTGTATTTGATATGCAAAGTATATCACTGTTAAAAAATGACAAATTTTGATGCTATTATGAAACAAACCCATCCAGCTTCACTCATTATATCACCTACGTGGCCCCCACAGGCATTTGAGTTTACAGTGGCTCCTGTAATAAAATAATAGTAGAAATACAGTCAAATACATGAGAGAGAATTTACAAAAGCGCTGTGATAAGCAATGGTAATTTTTATAGGGAATCAAATTAGTCTATCCTATTTTATTTTTGCTGATAGAATAATCTTATGAAATCCCTGGTAATAAATAGATTCCCTCAAAGTGCTACCTAACTCAATAGCCACTGAGGATGATTTAATGAATTCACACAGTGGTTCCTCAGTGGCTAGGAGGCATCGATGTAATTCCCCGAGTGCCTAACTTCTTGGCAACCAAACCCGAGTTGATTCTGAAGACTCACAGAGACCCTATAGGACAGAGTAGAACTGCCCCATAGGGTTTCCAAGGCTGTAATCTTTATGGAAGCAGATTGCCAGATTTTGTCTGCAGAGACACTGGTGGGTTCAAACTACTGACCTTTCAGTTACTAGCCAAGTGCTTTAACCACTGCATCACCAAGACTCCTTTTGTAGAAGACAGCTCCAAGGAAAATGGGTGAAGGATCTTTAGTGTCAGAGGAGAGGAAGAATATGGAAGTGAATGTTTTTGGCAGGTCTAACTTGCCACACTCTTGCCCACGAAGAAAGGCAATTTCTATGCATTCCTTAATGTTGAGTATCATGACAAAATAAACATAATGCAAGCCATAGGAGCCTAATAGTTTAAAATCAACATCTTGGATTGACTCAGGAAGCAAATGGGTTGCCAGTGTGGACCAGCATATTGATATAATCTGCTATTTCCTTGAAGCAGTTTGGTCTTCCACTTTCGGCTCAAGTTAGCTCCCACATTAAGCATGTGGAGAGCAATCGAATAAGCAGGCTCAGAGGTTGAAATGTGTCTTTAGAGGAAAAACAGGAAATCAAATGAGATTGAAGTTTGAGAAATGAAAATTGTCATAATACATTGAGGGAGAAAATAATCTGAAGGCCAAGTGTGCAGTGAGTCAGAAAAATCCGGAAAGTTGTAATGTTAGAGCCTGTGAACTGGAAACTAGATATGAATTCATAACCTACAAGGGTATGAATGGCGGCAAGAAGTCAGTAAATAGCGTCAGTGTTATTTTCAGAGGCCGAAGGAAGGATATTATGGACCAGGAACTTGAATAGCTCAAATTCTAGGCATCTCATTAAAGATGTAAACAAACAGAAGACAGTTTGGTGAAGAGTGACAACAACGTTTAAAGCTGAGACTCAAATATGAGGAAAAGTTTCCAAGAGTTAAAACTATGTACTGCTGGTATGATATGGATCTAAAATTTTAAGGGCATCTGTGACTTTTAAAATTTTGAAAAATTACTCATCAGAACCCAACCATTAGTATGTGGATATAAGAAATAAATTGGCACAAGCATCATGGAGTTACCTGGAATTAGCATTGTATTAATGCCTTGCCTATCTTTTGTTGCCCTGCTCTGAGAAATAGTCTGAAGGAACTATTAGACAGTATTTGCTGAGGAATGACTGTGATATTTTGGCTCTTTTTCTAACTCTAACTTCTATGAATTTTAAAATGCTATGAAAACACTTCAGCAAGAATTTTGGCAAAATATTTATAATTTCTTCAATAACATTGCTCATGGAATAGGAGAAATGGAAAGCAATCACTTAGTAACTGCGGAGGACAAGCAGGAAGGAGGAGAAACAATTGCTTACTCTGCTGTTCATGATGAAAAAAAAAAACCTGAGTTTAGCTATTAAAAATCCTGTTGGGAGCTGAAAATTGCACGTTAGAGGAACACGCTGCTTCCCATCCCCATATCGAAGAAAAAGGACTTACAGTTTGGCTGTTTGTGTGATGAAGAAGTACAGCTATAACATCAGCAGGCGTGTGACCAGCGGCTTGTGGGTGACAAGCACTTATGGGGATAGAAAGAAATCTGGCACAGGCCTTGGGCTTCTGGCATCATCAGTTACAGGTCTGCCAAGATGCTTTGGGAAACATTTTAATTTAAATGCCACGTCTATTTCAACGAAGTCTTCCTGGTTTGACCTGTTGGGAGTGCAGAGTGAGATGGATAGGTGCTCATTTTGGAGGGCATTAGGGAATGAGGTGGTGGCTTTATAAACAGCATCCTGGAGGTTTAAACCTCAATATGCCCTACTCACCCAAGGAAACCCACTGCGATCGTTGTAGAATAAACGGCTGTCCTAGCATTTTACTTGTGATTGGTCAATGGGGGGAGAAACATTAGATACTAACGCAGAAAGTGCAGAGATACCTCCAGGGATTTACTGAAAATATCAAAGTTAGAGAACTTTAAGAATAAAGGCTACAGCATTCTTTCCTTCCCCCATAGCATACTCACAGGCTATTACGATTATAAATTGGAGAAGGCGGATTAAGAATCTGATTTGAATTATTTGGATATATTTTTCTGCAAAACTATTACAAGACGGAAAAAACTAGTATTTTTTTAAACAAAACTAGACAAGAAAGGTAGCAAAAGGATGGGACTGAATAAAATATGAAAACATTGTTGCCCACCGATGGGAAAATATTTCTGTTAATGTAGGCCCAGGTTGGCAAGAGATAGATAAAAGCCCGAGCGAGGGTTAACAAAAACATGAATCCAGAGGATCAGAAGAATAAAACGTCCCCAAGAATAACTTGAAGGTGTTTGATGTTGTTTTCTGGGGTCAAGGACAGGTATGTATATGAATGTAAAGCATGTTTCCTCCGAGGCTACTTGGCAGTTTGCTACATCATGCTAATGCAAACAAGGTCTTCCAGTTCATCCCCCAGCAGATGGATCAGCTGCTTGTTCACGTCCAGCAGAGTGCGTTTCCCGGAAAAGGAAACACACAAGTTTGATGGAGGTGTAGGGTGCGACAGAAGGCGTTGAGGTTGGAGCCCAGGGAGCCTGGGCTGGAGAGGTGGGTGGGGCTAGGCAGGGTGGGGCCTTAGGTACCACGCTGAGGAGTTTGGGCCCTGTTAGGTGTGAGGGAGGTGTGTGCAGGGGAATGACACGATCAGGGTTGAGTTTTAGGCAGGTCATTCGGCCTGAAGCATGCTCAGGGAGACCAGAGAATGGAAGAACTCGCTGAGGTGATACCCCCAAAGATGAGCCTGACCCAGGGCTGGGCCCGCAGGGGGCCGGACCATCGAGCATCCCTGGCGGCAAGATTAGGAAGGGGGCTGGGAGGGATGGCGGAGATAAATGTGGGGCTACTAAGAGCACAGCATAGGCTCCGCCTGTATCCTCTGCCTTTCACCCCTCACTCCCACCCCCAGCATCCTTGCAACTAGTTGAATCAATTCACAGTTCAGGAGCCCAAGGAAACGGAATTGGCTTTAATATGTGAAATGGGTTTGTGAAATGGGTCTGACAGGCTAGTGTAGCCCAGTGAGGTGGGGGTGGGGTGGGGGGGATACGTACGGATGGCATTTTCCCGAACTCGGTGGGTTGCTATGAGTCGGAATCTACTCGACGGCAACTGGTTTGCTTTTGGTTTGGATAGGAAGGGAACCAGTTCCCCGCGCGGGGCGGGGAGAAGTGGGAGGCGCAGCAGCTGAGCCCCCGAGCCTGGACCTGCTCTCCAGGCCCGTGGCCTGTGCTGTCGTTGCGCCTTGGGGCGTCGGACGGGTGATTGGCAGTTGCGGCAGATCCACCGGAGGGGGGTTATTAAGAACCCGCGGCCGTCGCCGGTCTCCGTCCCTCGGCAGCGAGGTCCCCGTGGCCCGATGACCTGGCCTCGGCGAGAGCAGCCGCGACGGCGGCGACCAGCAGCCTGGCGGTGGGTCCGGGGAGGGGAGAGGGAGGGTCCCCACGGCCTGTAGGGGGCAGCGCCGAGCGCGGGCGGAGACGGCCGCAGGGCGAGTGGGTCTGGGCTGCTCCCTCGAGGAGCTGCCCCTTGGGCCGCACTAGCGTCTGGGACAGCCGGGCCACCCCTCCCCGCCGCGCGCTTCCTCACAGCGCCGCGGGCCCTTAGTGGGTCCTGGGGGGTGGTGGTGGAAAGCGCGGAAGGGCCCGGCACGCGGCGGCCTTGGAGGAGTTGGGGTCCGCCCGCGGCCGCGTGACCCTCGGGAGGCGCCTCCGTGTGGCCGGACAGTGTCTGAGCGTCCGCCGCTTCCCCTTGGCCTTGTGCCCGAGGTGGGCGCCCTGGCCCTTGGAGTGGGTGTCTGACCCCCCAGGGAGGGTGCCCCTTTCCCGCGCGGTGGGTGCTCCCGACCCTGGGGTAGGTGCCCTCAGCCCTCAGGGAGAGCGCCCCGTTACCTCGGGATGGGAACCTCGCGCCTGTGGGGTGGGAGCTCCTTTACCCCGGGGTGGGCGCCCGGCCGCGCGGGTTATTTTTGGCGCCCGCGGCGGCGCGTGTGTCGGGGCGTGTTTTCTTTCCCCAGGTGCCGGGAGCCCGGCTCTGCCGCCGCAGGAGCTGACTTGGGTCGCTCTCTTCTCTCCCCTGCAGGAATCTTCCGATAATTCTGTCACCACGACTTTAACCGTACGCGAGGCGAGCTCGAAACAAACATCACATCGAAATTAAAAAAAAAAAAGCGGAAGAAGCGGCCAAGGCGGCGGCGGCGGGAGGAGGAGAGGAGGAGGGGCCGCGCGGCGGCCCGAGGCGGCGGCGGGGACGCGGGGACGCGGCTTTGTGCTGGCGGGTCGCGGGGCGCCTATGGCGGAGTGCGGCCGGGGGGGCACCGCCGGCGGGGCCCTGCCCACCTCCCCGAGCCCGGCCCTCGGCGCCAAGGGCTCCCTGAAAGCCGCAGCCGGGGAAGGCGGCGGCGGCGGGGGAGGTCGCCTCGGCCAGGGGCGGGCGCGCTATGACAGCGGCGGGGTTTCCAACGGAGACTGCAGCCTCGCCGTGTCCGGGGACGAAGCCCGAGCCAGCCCCGCCAGGGGACCCCGCGGCGCTGCGGTCGCCCTGACCCCCAGTCCAGCCGCTGGCCCCCTCCCCCGGGAAAGCAAGCCGGGCGGCCTGCCCCGCCGGAGCAGCATCATCAAGGTAGGTGGAAGAAGGGCGCTCATAGCCCACCCCCAGCCGCCCTTGGGGTCTGTTTCCACCAGGGGAGGGGTGTAAGGAGGGAGATGTAGGGAGAGCCCACTGCTACCAGGAACCACTGGTGCGCCAGTGCTTAAGGTGCTTGAGCACGGAATGGATGCAAATTGCATTTGGAAAGAATGGAGAGGTGATCCCCAAGGTGCAGGGGGAACTGTGTACAGGCATCCCCAGTTGAACTTGGGGCTGTCACCTCTTGCAGAATTGGCCTGAAATTATGACCTGTACCTGCCTGGGCAGGGCATGCTTTTCTTTGGTAGCCTATGCTGGTTAACAGACTCCCTGTAAGGTTTCCTATTGTATTTCAAGGACAGTCGAGGATTATATGGAAACATTTTCTTAAAAATTCCAAGAGGTGAACAGAGATTGTTTAATAGGTTTCTTCTGATCTGTATATATAGTTGCCTCTTGCAAATGGTTATACTTGGAGGGTACATAATCTGTAGTCACTCAGTCATATGGAGAAATGAAGTAGGTTTCTGAGCATAAATGCAGATTGCTGCTTTCTTGGGCTCAAAAGCCCTGAGAGATTACAGTGCTACATGCTTTAATCTTTTCCTTACTGCAGTAGGCAGGCCTCCCGTTCTTCTGTGAAAGTTGTTTGGGGCAGTTTGCTCAGGTTTCTTATCTTTTGTACCATGTTATTTAGCAGAAGAAAGCCAGCGATTGTTCTGTGCGTTTTAAACTCAGAGAAGTACTATTAGGAACTCCTGAGTTTGTTGTGGTTTCATTCTAATATCACAGTTTGGTCACAGTGTAAAAATATTTCTTATGACATGAAGTGAAAAAACAGTTGATGAGCTAGGAAGAGCAGAGCCTTGGGTAAGACCAGCCCATTCTGCTCAAGTTTGGAGCAAATATGAAAACGTTGCTTTCTGAAAATCAAGGGGTTACCAGGACTTGAGCAGTAAAGCACATTGACAGGGCTGCACCCATACTTCCTGTGGCTGATAGCCAGTGGGAGAGAGGGCAGAATGTGTCACAGTGAAGACAGTTGGCACTGATGGTGTTTGGAATTTAATTGGATCTATAAGAAATCTTCCAAGTTCTGTAAAAATGTCTGATAATGTTAGCAACTTCTGCAGTAATGTAGTGCAATACACCGCCTTGATATAGTCTGTGTAACAGACAGTTGTGAAACTACTTTTCGCCTTGTCATCTGTTTGCATAGTTTATGTCTGGGCAAGGGCACAATTGAAGGACTTAAAGATCAAGTGTATTAACTATGTGCAGCACATGTTTAGAGTTAAACTAAGGGAGTTAAACTAAGGAAGGTAAAACATATTTTTGCTGCATATGTAGCTTTTAGTGACTTATATTTTCCTTTGGTCTGTGGCTTATGTTTCATGGAAGTTGCTTTCAACTGTGCATGATAATACCACTGACAGAGTTACGTGTCATTGTTTTTGGTGTTTACCAAATATCTGTGATGATTTTGCATTGTGGTGTTAAATTAATGAACTTGAGGTAAGGATTCCAGAGAAGATACCAGCCTACCAAATTTTAACCTCCTCTTCCAATTTTTTTTTTTTTTTTTTTTAGGACTTATTATTTGCATTAAAAAAAATGTAAACTTCGTTGGTGTTTGTAGTGGGATTCACAGTGTAACTTATTTAGTTACAGTCAGCATCAGTTTTAATTACATTCATGGGAGATGAGAAAGAGGGATGATTTATCAATATTTCTGATACATGGAATTGAGAACTTGTCAATAGATATCATTTCTTCATTGACTACTCTAGAAGAACATGGGGACATGGTTAATTGTCCAGAAATCACTGGTTTTAGAAATGACGTTGGTACTTTTATTGAATTCTGGAACTTTCAGGTATTTTCTCACTTTTCTTTCTCCTAATGAAGGCAAGGAAACCCTGGTGGCGTAGTGGTCAAGAGCTACAGCTGCTAACCAGAAGGTCACAGTTCAAATCCACCAGGCTCTCCTTGGAAACCCTATGAGGCAGTTCTACTCTGTCCTTTAGGGTTGCTGTGAGTTGGAATTGACTCGAAGGCAACGGGTTTGGTTTTTTTTGGAATGAAAGCAATTGGCTTCTTGTTCACTGTTGCATCCCTAGATACTCAGTGCCAGCAACCTAGTAGAGGCTGCTTATTGAGTGAATGAGGGAAAGAAGGAATGCTGAGCAAGTACAAGTTTTCTATTTTAAGTTTTGTTAATTTCTAAAACAAGTGGTTTTGGGTTTGCCAGTCCCATGTCTTGTTCATGATCTTGTACCTCCTGAGTTAACTTAATTGATTCGTTTTTCTTGCCTCCATTTTCACCTTGCATTTTGCCTTTTAAAAGTTGAAAGTTGAGCAAGCCGAGGTTATGTGATTCATAGGAAAGTAGGTATGCTATAGTTAGATAAGTAACTACTTGATATGTTTCTCCTTGAATTGGTACCTTGACAGATCGAGATTTTAGGGGTTTAGAGTGGTGTATTTTTTTCTATTCTTTCACATTTTTTCATTGTCTTTAGATGAAGGTTTACAGAGCAGATTAGTTTTTCAGAAAACAATTAATACACATACTGTTTTGTGACATTGGTTGCCAACCCCGCGACATGCCAACACTCCGTTTCTCGACCTTGGGTTCCCCATTTCCATTCTTCCAGCTTTCCTGTCCCCTCTTGCCTTCTCATCCTTGCTCCTGGGCTGGTGTATCCATTTAGTCTCGTATACATGGTTGAGCTACATGTATTATTGTTTGTTTTATGGGCCTGTCTAATCTTTGGCTGAAGGGTGAACCTCAGGTTTGATTTCAGTACTGAGTTAAAAGGATGTCAAGGGGTAGTGTGGTATATTTTAAAGATATAACTTACATCATCAAGACAATATCCTAATAGAATAAACAGGTCTTTCATGTAACAGCAAATTTGGCAGAATTCTTTATATTACACTTTTGTTAAAAAAAAAAAAAAAATCACAGAAATGTTAGTAGAGTCAGTGCTGTTGGAAAGTGAAAAGGCAGTAGTGCCATCTTTCCTTGGTTTCCCTATGAATCTTGTTTAAATGTAAGGGCTGAATGCAGTCAGGTGGTCCAAGAGTGGATGTGGGAGTAGATTAGTAGGTGTACTCGTGTCCTAGGGCAGCCTTAACAAAGACCAGAATTGAGTGGTATAAAACAACAGAAATTTATTCTCTCACAGTTCTGGAGACTAGAAGTCTGAAATCAAGTTGCTAAGGTGCAAGACGTATGGTAGAACTACACTGTAAAAGACTTCTTAATTTTTTTGTTTTGTTTGATAAAATGTTATCTTATTCAAACCACCTAGATTTGAAAACTCCGTATTTCTTTATACCCAGTGTTCTATAGCAGCAAAAATTTTAAATGTGTGCATATATTAGGTACTAACTGATCAATAACTGATTCACCAGCCTGAGGGACGGATTGGGACAGTCCTGTAGTTTTTTGTTTTTTCCTTTTTTAATTTTTATTTAATTGTTGTACGTTAAGTGAAAGTTTACAATTGAAGTTAGTCTCTCATACAAAAATTTATACATACATTGTTATGTGACCCTAATTGCTTTCCCTACAATGTGACAGCACACTCCTCCTTTCCACGTTTGATTTCCCATGTCCATTCAACCAGCTCCTGACCCTCTCTGCCTTCTCATTTCACCTCCGGACAGGAGCTGCCCATTTAGTCTAATGTATCTACTTGAGCTAAGAAGCACACTCTTCATGAGTACCATTTTATGTAAAAGACTTCTTTAAAGTGTTGAAAAGCAAAGATGTTGTTTTGAGAACTAAGGTGTGCCTGACCCAAGCTGGACGATAAATAAGGAAGACCAAAGAAGAATTGATGCCTTTGAATTGTGGTGTTGGTGAAGAATATTGAATACACTGTGGACTGCCAAAAGAACAAACAAATCTGTCTTGGAAGAAGTACAGCCAGAATGCTCCTTAGAAGCAAGGATGGTGAGACTGTGTCTCACATGCTTTGAATATGTTATCAGGAGGGATCAGTCCCTAGAGAAGGACATCATGTTTGGTAAAGTAGAGGGTCAGCAAGAAAAGGAAGACCCTCAATGAGATAGATTGACAGACAGGCTGCAACATTGGGCTCAAGCATAGTAACAACTGTGAGGATGGCACAGGACTGGGCAGTGTTTCATTCTGTCGTGCATAGGGTTGCTATGAGTTGGATGAGTTGGAACTGACTCGACAGCACCTAACAACAACACTGTAGGTTGACCAGAATTACATTTCTCATTTCAAACCATTTCTTTGGGATACCATCTGTGTTGTAAATATGGTGTAGAGTAAGGAATTGTTGTAAAACTACATACTCTGCCAAAATAGATGCACAGATCTACACTCCAAGAGCTCCTTGGTTATATGGTAACAGTGTGAAAACTCAGTAAGTGAGCAGCCTTATAGAACCTTTTGTTAATACCTTGAGAAGATAAATACATTGTGAGACTCATCACTAGACTTTTCTGCATTTCCTTAGCTTGTTGAGAATAATGTTACACGTTTTAGATTATCTACAAAGGCCCATTACTGGATTTTTAGGGAAGAAGCCATCATCATATTTGTCATTTTAAGTAATCTAGTAAATAAAAACATCACTTTCATTTTCTGATGATTTATTTCTTCACACCATTCAATCTAGTCCACCGATTTTGAGACAGTTAATTTGGTATCCCATTGTTTACAAATAGCTCAGTCCTTTAATTCATGTGCTTGGTCTAAAATGTAAAGTAACATTTTAGGCCTTAGATTTCTTTTTTAATTTTAGAAATAAATGAAGTTGTAATGTCTATTAGTTTGAATGTTTTATTTTAATCAGAATTAATTGAATACTTTGCTTGGTACTTTTAAATTGAGATGATTTACATGAAGTAAAATTCACTCTTGTTGGTGTCTAGTTCTGTGAGTTTAGACACATACAGTCGTGTAACCACCACCACAATCAAGATATAGAACCGTTCCATCACCTCAAAAA